TCTTTTACAGGCATCCAAATTACAAGACAAAATCTGTATCCTTCTCCCTTCCAAATTCTCCCTGAACCTTGCCCTTTCACATTCATCAACATATAATCATGATCAGAGCTCGCTGAACCACGGTGAGCCCCGCTCACCAGCCGCGCTGTCCCGCGATCTGCGCATGCGCAGATCGCCTGAACCCAACTCTTCCGGGTTACAATCTACTCACCACGGGCAAGTAGATTGTATAATTTGTCGAGCCCTGATCATGATGATGATGCTACAAAAATAAAACTTGACTTCTAGTGTTGGAATTGAATCAGGAGAATGTAGAGAATTCCTAAAGCGTTCTTTTTTGAAGAAGTGTTTATATAACAGTACATCACTTTTGGGAAACAAAATGCAGATAAAGAGGATGGTACAATGTTTTAGAAGTGACTCAGGATGTTAGCATAATAAATGAAATTCACAGATGCCAGTTTTTAATGTACAATTATGGAAGCTGCCATCTCTTTGCTTTTTATATCTGAGTTAGAGGATTTATCCAGCATTGCTTGGGTCCTTAACTCAAATGAGTTTTGTTGTTTTGCTCTTGGGTGGGGTTGGGGATAAGGGGTTCAGTACACAGGCTGCCCTGGAGAGATGACAACCTCAGCCCTCTCTCAGCACAGCAACTTTAGGCCAGGTGAGAAGCTCCAGTCCATGGCTGCTGCAGCGGAAATAGACAGGGGAGAGGGGCATGTCCCTGGTTGGGGGACAGACAGACGGTAAAAAACAAACTCTCAGAAATATAGGAAATCCCTGTCCTTTTCATCATCCCTGTCCTTTGCTGCCCTAATGGAATTATAGCTGTCCCAGTTCCCATCTCTGGCTCCCTGCTGTCCCCCTTTGCTCATTATACAGTATTAACCGCCCCTACTAGCAAATCTTTCCCTTTCCATTTTATGGGAAACAGTCACATTCTAGGTACATCCTATTGTCCTGGCACAACCAAACCCTTACCTTGCTTTAAATTATAAAAGAAAGTTGCATTCCAAATTTGGTGATCTTAGCTCTTAATTGTTTAGGAGGAGTTCATGAAAAAACAGATTCCGGATGGACAGACACACAAACTCTCAAGTATATAGTAGATTACTAGACTTGAAGCAGGATGGATTGATTTAAATCAAAGCAATTTAAAACACCCAAAAAAACTCGATTGTTGTAAATTATGTTTCCCACTGACACTTGACATATTTCTTCAAACTGTGGTGCAAATCTGATCACTAAAGCATGTTAATTTACAACTCAGTACAGCATTTTACAACATCTAAGAGGGTATACTTTGTGTAATTTTTTAGATAACTTGATTTTTTCTATTTAGGAAAAAGTATATAATATTCATTACCTGCATCAAGCTGTAAATGCAGTAGCAGTACATTAGGAGTTATAAGAACTAAATCATACCCACAAACACAATAACACTTGCATTTGTTAAACTAAATCTTAAATGTTACATACATGTTTATATTTGCAACTGCAGTAGTCTCCTGAGTTGCTGACTGACAGCTGTCCCTAAACTCTTTTTTTATTAATTTTATTAACTCTAATAAACAAGTCCTCAGAACACTGAATGTATAGTGTCCTTAAAGCTTCTACAACTGGCTCTTATCTTCCTCATGCCCACTGTCATTTTGATTCATAGATTGAAACAGAAATACAACTTTCCTGCTTTTCCTACTCCCAGTTGATTTCTTAGATTTGTGTGAACAATACCAAACAATGAACAGTGACTCCTGGCACTTAACATTAAAAAGGTTCTAGAGCTGTTTTTAAACTAAGGACTGGGGGAAAGCCGACAGGTATGGAGGAACACAGGAACTGGACAGACATCTATTAGGGGAGGGTCTATTAATAGAGATGCTCTATGTTCTAGTCAGGAGGAGAGGATGGAAGTATGGGTCGGATCAGATGAGACACAATCAAATGAAAAAGAGTCTAACACATCAAGAAATGGCAGACAGATCAATAGTGACAAATTATTAAAGTGCTTATAGATAAATGCTAGAAGTCCAAATAGTAAAATGGGTGAACTAGAGTGCCTAGTTTTAAAGGAGGATATTGATATAATAGGCATCACAGAAACTTGGTGAAATGAGGACAATTAGGGGGACACAGTCATCTGAAGGACAGAACAGGTCGTGCTGGTGGGGGAATGGCACTATATGTGAAAGAAAATGTAGAATCAAATGAAGTAAAAATCTTAAATGAGCCAAAATATTCCATTGAATTTCTATGGGTAGTAATTCCATGCTCCCATAATAAGAATATAGCAGTAGGGATATATTATTGACCACATGATCAGGACAGTGATAGTGGCTATGAAATGCTATCTAATTAAAACTTGATAATAATGGAGGATTTCAACTATCCCATGTTGACTGGGTACATGTCACCTCAGGACAGGATGGAGAAATAAAATTTATTGATACCTTAAATGACTGCTTCTTGGAGCAGCTGGTTCTGGAACCCACAAGGGGAGACGCTATTCTTGATTCAGTCCAGAGTGGATCACAGGATCTGGTTCAAGAGGTAAATGTAACCAGATTGCTTGGAAATAGTGACCATAACATAATAAAATGTAACATTCCTGTGGTGGGAAAAATACCTCAGCAGCCCAACACTATGGCATTTAATTTCAGAAAGGGGAACTGCACAAAAATGAGGAGTTAAACAGAAATTAAAAGGTATAGTGACATAAGTAAAATCTCTGCAAGATGCATGGAAACTTTTCAAAGATACTATAATAGAGGCCCAACTTAAATGTATGCCCCAAATTAAAAAACACAGTAAGAGAACCAAAAAAGTGTCACTGTGGCTTAACAACTAGGTAAAAGAAGCAGACACAGATAAATAGATATCTTTTAAAAAGTGAAAGTCAAATCCTATGTGGAAAATAGAAAGGACCATAAACTTTGTCAAATTAAGTGTAAAAATAAAATAAGAAAAGCCAGAAAGGAGTTTGAAGAACAGGTAGCCAGAAACTCAAAAAATAATAGTAAAATGTTTTCTAAGTACATCAGAAGCAAGAAGAACTTAAATTGGAAATTGTGGAACTGTTAACTCTGGTTTGTAACCTATCCTTTAAATTGGCATCCATACGTAATGACTGGAAGATAGCTAACGTGACGCCAATATTTTAAAAGGGCTCTAGAGGTGATCCTGGCAATTACAGACCGGTAAGTCTAATGTCAGTACCGGGCAAATTAGTTGAAACTATAGTAAAGAATAAAATTGCCAGACACATGGATGAATATAATTTGTTGGGGGAAAGTCAACATGGATTCTGCAAAGGGAAATCATATCTTACTAATTTATTAGAGTTCTTTGATTAGTTCTTTGAGGGTGTCAACAAATTTGGACAAGGGGGATCCAGTGGATATAGTTTACTTACATTCCTTAAGAGCCTTTGGTTAGGGACATTGGCCAAAGACTTTCTGGAAATCTAAGTTGTCATAGGATAAGAGGGAAGGTCCTTTTGTGGACTGATAACTGGTTAAAAGGCAGGAACCAAAAGGTAGGAATAAATGGTAAGTTTTCAGAGTGGAGAGAGGTAACTAGTGGGGCCCCCGAAGAGTCTGTCCTGGGATCCATCCTATTCTACTTATTTATAAATGATCTAGAGAAAGGGGTAAACAGTGAGGTGGCAAAATTTGCAGATTATACCAAACTGCTCAAGATAGTTAAGACCAAAGCAGACTGTGAAGAACTTCAAAAAGATCTCACCAAAATTAAGTGATTGGGCAACAAAATGGCAAACGAAATTTAATATTGATAAAGTAATGCACATTGGAAAAAATAATCCCAACTATAGATACAATATGATGACTGTATTCCCTTAATCTTATGATGAATTTAATTAAATGATTCTCTGTCTAGAAGGGGTAGAAAGGTTTCAACATGTGTGCATTCAACATCACTTTGCTGTTCTCTGGAGTTGGTTGGGAAAGATTGTATATAAGGGTAAGATACCTGCTGTTTCGATTTCAATCTGTTAGGAATTATGACTAGATTTTTAACTTTAATGAAATGTTCACATGAGAATAAATGGATTTAGCAAAAAATGAAAATGCCATATCACATTCTGCTAGCTATGATTTTCATGGGATTTAAATTTAATCCTCAGTATTTGACTCATCTGAGATCTGGATTTTTTTTCTCGTTATGTATTACAGAGCCCAGGTCCTTTTACAGCATCCAGTGATATTTTTATAAAGGGATAATAAATGTTTTGCTTTTATATATTAGTTAATCTATTCCTCCTCCATATGAAACAAGACAATGGAATGAAAGACAAAAGCCACAGCATACTACTGTGAAATATAAAAGGTTCAATAGAATAAAACCTCAGTGAAAATATCATTATAGTCAGATCAATTATGTAGCAGTGATTACTTTCAGTTTCATTACTATGCTTTTGGGCTAGAATTTAACAGGGTTCAAAAAAAATGTAGACAGATCCATGGAGGTTAGATCCATCAATGGCTATTAGCCAGGATGGGTAGGAATGGTGTCTGGAAATGGGTGACAGGAGAGGGATCACGTGAGGATTACCTGTTGAGTTCCCTCCCTCCAGAGCATCTGGTATTGGCCGCTGCTGGCAAACAGGATACTGGGCTAGGCAGACCTTTGGTCTGACTCAGTATGGCCGGTCTTATGTTCTCCATCGCATGAAATATAATATGCTTGTCTTCATTTTCAAAGCCCTTCATAATCAATCCCCCACCAATGCAGGGGGTGTAACTTTGTTCAAAATATCATCAGTAAATGTACTTGGTTATATGGTTTTGCTCCAGCCCTGACATTTATTATGACTAGAATAACTGACAGTGATTTTGAGATGTTCATGCTATGGCAGCAGCAGCATCTTCAAAAGTTAGGCATCTACATTTATATCTGGGTTTAAGAATGTTTGCAAAATGGGGTGGAGTCAGTGTTTGATCCACTCACTTTCTTATTGCTTGTAGTTTAACTTTCTGGTGTGGTATTTCTTTCTTTCAGCACTGTCTCCTGAAGTGCGTTGCAAATTTCAGTTGCAGCAGCAATTTCTCTGAAGTTTCATTACAGTTACAGATAATTTTCAGTATAATCATACATTCTCTACATTCCAATGTTAGATACTGTGTGAATGAGATTTCCATCTATTTAGTAATGGTTTTCTTCACAAATTTTATGCAAACAGGCTAATTTGCAAATAAATTGTTCAAAACAACCACAGAATTCCATTGATCATTTAGGGGAAGAATTATTTTGGATCCTTCAGCTCTCTTCAGTGAAACTAAACTAAAATGGTTGTTAGAAGTATTTTGTGACTTCAACAACATTTTCTTTTATTCCTTTAGAGGAAGTACTTAAGTCTTTGGATAAAAGAGGCACTGAAGCCATATTATTGATAAGGAGCATCTTTCCGATATTTCTTCTAAACATCTTCTCATTTTTCTTTTAAATATTCTGTTGTGGGGACATTCCCTGATGTATCTATTGTTTCTGAAAGATACACAACCTCATCTTCTGTTGTGTCACAGGCACATATTACTGGATCATTGTGTACATTGCTCCTTCCATCAAGACTTAAACTGGCAAATTTTCCCTTGGTATTTCTTGCACACTGTTCTTACATTGCATCTAGCAACCTTCCACCAATATCATAAGCACAGAACAAAAATAATTCTATCCAGTCTGTGTCTGTCTTTACACGTTTGTACATTGAGAAACAGAAATTGAAAGCCTAGAACTTTCAAGAAACAAGAGCTGGTGGTTAGGCTGGACAGACTAGAGCCATTAATTAATTTTTGTGAGACTGTAAGTGTAGGTATAGAATGTTTGTGGTGAGATTTAATTGTAACTTATTTTTAAAGGAGACTTTAGTATTTTATTGATAAAATCTGAGTTTATTTTTTGAAAAATTTTTTAAATGATTTTTAATTTTTTAAAAAGCATTGATCTTTATCCACCCTGACTTTAACCCTTTATTAAAGGACATAGTTTTGAACTTAAAAACAGCTTCACCAATATGAATTCTATTTGAACCATATTTGTACATCTGTTTTTCTTCCTTTCAGACAATTTCCATCACCCTATGGGTGTCAAGTTACTGTGATAGCATCCTACGACCCTTCAAATCAAGCTTACAGAAAAAGAAAAAGAAAAAAAAAGAAACCAATGTAGTTCTGGTAGGTGACTCAATGGAGGCACGAGTTTTAATCTTAAGATGCTTCCCTAAAAGTTAGTGAATATAATTTTCAAAAGCATCTTAAGTCCTATTTTCAAAAGTGACTAAGCACTTAAGCTCTATTAAGGGGCTCTCCTAAGCCACTTTTGAAGTTAGGACTTTAAGTCACTTATGTGCTTTTGAAAATTAATGGAAAAATGCAACATTATAGAATATTTCATAACCAACCCTAATGAGTATTCATTAGTTTATTGAATACAGTTAGTATGATTTCTGTTTTGTATATAAGCATCTTAAGTCCAGGGTTGGTGTTGTTTCCAAATTGTTCCGACAAAAAAAAAAAAGCAAGATAAAGGCTTCTAAAATGAGGGTACTATCAGATTACATAACATTTTTCATCTTCAGAAGATTGTTTTACAAACATTAACTACTAAATGAAATAGAATTTTGAATAGTTCAAGGTGGGAATTTTTCAATTTTTTTTTTTCTGGTTCCAAACTGAAACTTGTCAAGAAAATATTTCTGTTTCATCATGAAAGTTTCTCAGACCTTAGCTGGAATCAGTCTGAGCAGGTGATTTGAACCTAACTTCCCAGATCCCCACTGGGTAAGAGAGTCAGAATCTTCTGACCTAATGAATGTTTAATATTCTATACTAAGTGGAACAGGTCCAACAGGAGTTATTAATATTCAAATTGGGCAGAGCAAAGTCTCCCAGGAACATGTCATAACCACTGGCTTATAAGGTCAGCTTCATTGCATGGTAGAATAAAAACTAATTCCAATAGCTCCGTTTTTCACAAAATGGAAATGCTTGCCTGCTGGCCAGCCTTAATTTTTAAGCTATATTTGAATAACACATTTGTGGTTTGGGGCACAGAGAAGTCAATTTATTTTGAAATGGTGACTTGAGTGTCTTATACAAAAAGATTTAACATGGATGTAAAATGTGTTTTAATGTCACTTCTTCCTGTTTTCTTAGCCACCTGTGTTTACCAGTTTTTTGGATTATGTTACTGAGCTACAGACATTAACTTCCAATGTAATTGATCATATCAAAGGGCTTGAAATAATTCTGACTGCACTTAAACTTGAAGAATTGTCCATAGATGACACTTTACTTTCACAGGTAAGAAACTGTACCTTATTTTTTTGTGATTTTTTTTTTTTTTAATTAAAGAAATCTAGAGAATATCTCTTTGCTAGCTTCAGTTTTTTCTTCTTTAAATGTTACCTATTGGAAAAGCTTTATAAGCACTAATATGATTGACTCAGTTGTTTGCTATTAACTAAAAAAAATAGTGTCACTGACTTAAAATAGTAGAGCTTTTGTTATAAAGTTCCTACCATGTGGAGTCCAGCATAGTCACTTTTAACAAAATAATTAATTTAAAAACTCTGACTGGAATCTGAAAATTGTAAACCTATGTATCTTTTTTAAGTAAGTTGAGTATGTGAAGACAGGTGTTTTGTGTGACATCAATTTGTGTTTCCATGAAAGTGAATGATATGTCCAGCATAGAAAGACTTGACAACTTCAAATCATGATGGCACAGTTGTGACAGGAAATCCGTGTAGTTCAAGTATTTCTGACCATATAGAATCATAAAATACTAGAACTGGAAAGAACCTGGAGAGTTCGAGTGCAGTCCCCTGCCCTCATGGCAGGACCAAGCACCATCTAGATCATCCCTGATGTCTATCCAACCTACCCTTAAATATTTCCAGTGATGGTGATTCTACAATCTCCCTAGGCAAGTTCAGGCACAATGTCTGTTAAGATGTCTCTGAAAATTATTCTTAGTGAAGAAATATCCTTTTTGAAGCCGTGAATGTTCCTAAAAGAGGGAGAAGATGACCAAGATATTATGACACCAGGAAATAGGTAGATTGTCGTTCCTTTAACAGGACACACTCAGAATGTGTCTACACAGCACCCGAAACTCGAAATAAGATATGCAATGTGCGCTACGCAAATTGCGTTGCTTATTTTGATTCTATTTTAAAATAGCTTATTTTGTCATTTGGCGCTGTCTACAGAGCACCAAATTTTTAAATAAAGTGCTATTTTGAGCCTTCCCTTAATCCTTGTAGAATGAGGTTTACAGAGATGGCAAAATAGCAAATGCATTCAAAAGACGTGGGGTAGCTATTTCGGTAGCTCTGGTATCCTGAAATAACTTTGTGTAGACATACTCTCACTGACCACTTATTGAGTCTTTTTTTCATGAATTAATGGCCTGCCTCTGTTCAGAGCCTCAAAATATCATTGGCACTGAGTGGTAGAGGGTTGAATTTGGATGTACACATTTCATTTAGCAGATAAAGCACAAAACTAGCCATTTCTTTACCTTTAAATATGTTCAGAGAATTCTAAAGAATGAGAATCAAAAGTAGATTGGCATTCTTGCCTCACCTTAGGTTAGGAAAGTTAGCGACAAATTGCAAGTTGTAGCATAATTCAAGTGGGATATGGGTTTTTGAGAACCATGACTTTGTGCTATTCCCACATAGTATAAGAATTGGTCTCATTTGGGAAATTATGCTCTCCTCACTTAAAATAGTTGGTGGCTGTGTTTTACAGTTTTTAATTATAAGAATTGTATGAACTCATGTAGATTTCTTTTCAGTAGACCTGAAAAGAAAAACCCAACTCTATATAACTTGATGCTGTTCAAAAAACACTACGTTGGTAGTGTCCACAGCCTCAAAACTCTTATTGACTCTGGGAAATTAGTAAATAGCAGTTATAGAATCAGATGTGTGGAGCTTTTACTTCCAGATAAACTCTTATCAGCATGTCTGTCCCACCACGACTTTACATTCTTCTGGGAGCTTTACAGTATAGAGGTAAAATTCCATTTAATTAATTAACCAGTTAAACATTATGTTTAACTGGTTAACCTGTTAAGCAAGATCCTCCAGCCCAGATGGAGCAGCCTCTAGCTCACAGTGCTGTCTGCTCCTGATTTCAGTGCAGCAGGTGTGGGGTGGCTGCTCCTGGGTGCCAATTAATGGGTTCACCATGTGCCAGTTACCCATTCACATCCCTGCTTTATTAGACCAATATGCAGATGAAGTTTTCTGTAGTGTAGTGTAACAGCAGGATTTGTTTAAAAGATCCATTTAAAAATCACACTTCTGGGTTTGCTTTCCAGTACTCTTAAGTTATTGAAAGATTAGGAAAACAAATTGCATATATCATTGTGGGCCTTATGCATTTAACTGTAGTTTCTGTACTGTTTTCCCCCATTTCTGTTGCTCTTCTATGCTGTTGCTGTGTGAAATTTAGTATATCTTAAATATGAAAAGTCACTGTAAATTTACAAGAACTGGGAGTGGACAAAAGTAACATTCAAATTACCTTTTCTTAATGAACTAGACTTCAAATTGTCTTATCCCTTTGAAGCACTGTCTAGAATTATGGTAGCACTTTGACCCTTAATTGTCTTTATGGTTCTTTAATTACATTCGAGTGACACAAGTAAATGTTCTGCTAATTTATTCAGTCAGCGGATTCTACAAATTTCCTTTATGTTCTTCCAAGCATTGAGGGAATTTGGAAATCAGAAATGTGAAGATCTTAAAAAAAAAAAAAAATGTTTCACATTTATTTTGATTTTCTGGTACTCTAAATGCATTGGCTGAGGGATTGAGGGTTTCTACATGCATACTGTTTGCTATTCTATTCATTATTTATACTTTACTGTGGGTGTCAAACACTGTGAGTAAGCTGAATAGCATTACTGATACAGAGGCAGCAATGCAAAAGGAGGGGTTGGAGGCGGCTCTACAGAACCCTTGCTTGTAGGAAACTAACTTTGGGTTCCCCCCAAGCGCTATTTCGTGCCTTCCACCCCGTGCTGCTGTCTCTGCAGGGGGATTGGCTCTGTAGGGGGAGCCGACTTAAAAGCGGACTTCCCTTGAGCACCAGCTCTCACCTTCCCTCCCCCTTGCTTCCTCTGATGGAGGGAGAAGGATGCTTGTAGCCATTAGGATTAATTTATGAGCCAAGGCTTATCCATTAATTGTATAAATGACTACATGCTAACATCCCTAGCACGCACAGGGAATTTCTGGGACTGCTTTTGAAAAAGTCATTGAAATCTGGCAGCTGAATCAGACAAGAATTTGCTCTTTATGGAACATAACTAGTGATGCACTTGCAGAGATGGTAGCATTGACTCAAGACTTCTGGCTTGGCACTGATTAACTTAGTCACTGTATGGAAAGAACCTAATGATTATCCATATAGTTCCTATGATTCTCTGTAAGAAAGTACATCTACTTATGATTAGGCAATGAGTTTCACCTCAGTAAAATGGCAGATATGGTTGCTCCTTACTATGGGCAACAGACCTAATCCTTCATATGTGCGCACTGTACTCAGCATAGGAAAGTGAATATCTATCTCATATTATGTTTTGGAGAATTATACCAAGGAATGCAGTTCATAGGACTTTAGAGAACCTGTGAGAAGACAGAACTGCTCTCAGCTATGTTTACTTATGCATGTTTGGAAAACTTGGAAAATAGGGATTGTGAGGGTGTTTAGAATAGTAGATGAAAATGGTATGTCTACACCATGCTTCTCACGGCAGCAATATGGAGTGCATACATGCATAGGTCTCTATTTCAATATTTTCATAGAGGGTGTGGGGAATCTTACAGGGGAATTTAAAAGACAGTTTTAGCCTGTAGGCTGAATAACTGTGTTTTCTTGATCTGCAGGAAGAAAAAAAGTTTACAAAGACTGTGCAAGGAAAAGTGCAGAGCAGTTACCAGCAATCAATTCAGGAAATTGGGGAGCTGCTAAAAAAGAGACTTGATACCATAAAAAAACTAAAAATTTAAGAAATGCACCCTTGGCATAAAGACTTCACAACAGAATGACACCGTAATCCCAGGCAGAAGCAACATCCAACATACCATCACTTTAATCCAGAACTTCCTCATAAATGCATGAAGGACTTCAATCATAACATATTTTTTTTAGGTATTGAAGATATATTCAGCCAATTAAATTATTGTACATAAACCAGAAGTAGGGACCCTCTGTTAGGGTTTGACCACTTTTTATACATGTTCATAAGCATATTGCAACAGGTAAAATTCAGTTTTCTTCCCTTTTGATCTCCAGAGTCACCTGGAGATAATCTTTAGAAGCAGCAATAGAAATCCAGTATAAAGCATATATCTCAAAGGAGTTGTATTTTCATCACCATACAGTGTTTATAGTTTTTATATGGTCCTTGCCTTAGAAAAGCAGAAATTGTAGATGTCCACATTCAACCTTGGAGCATATTGTGTGGCCTCTTCCACTGAAGCAGATTAGTTCTGGAGCTGTCCGTTCTATTGACAAGCCACTTGGTTGTGCTTAAAAGGAGACTCAGTACCTTGTGAGTCCAGCAGGGAGAAGTGACTTTGTATTTGAAACACATATTTGTATTCAGGCATATACTGCCTTCCAGTGACCACCATTAACTGAGGAGGGTCAGAAGTCATGCTTACATTGATGTAGTTTCCTCTAAGATTGAACCTCAAGAGATCTTGGAGGAAGGAAATAGTGTTAATTTATACACACTTTATTTTTAGTGAAACAGAAGTTCAAAAAATTACAAGCCTGATATAAAACAGACTTGAGCAGCCAGCTTTACAAAAACAGGAATCCAAGTTTCAACAAAAGGCTAGAGGCAATATACATAATACTTGCAGTTAAATCTTGGCACCACTGACTCTGATCTTATATCAGTTTCATGTAGCACAATAATCATTGTGACTTTAAAAGGGGCTTGAAACTTTTAAGAGTTAATAGTTAGGACTCCATTCCATTAAAAATTATTTATCAACTGTCTATGGTGATAAGTTGGCAGAAATAATGTTTGCTTCCAGATTGGTATGAGGCTGAGAGTGCTACTCTTTTGTTTGTGACCACTTCCTTTTGTAACTGATCTTTTATGATTATCCAAGTATTTGTACATTAGTCATTCTGTTAGAGCAATGTAATTGCACCATCTGATCCTATAAAATCTGCATTTCTGCTATTTTAATTTAAAAAGGAGTAATATAGACACACACAAAACAAATAGGCACAAATATGAACATGTTGTACCTAGGATCTGAGGGACACTTGAGACTTTTACAGATTTTTTCTTATCTTCTGATTTAAAAAAGCAAGTATAATCTGAATTCTATATTTAAAGTTTTAAGAGAGCTGACAATGTTTGTGTTGCCATCTCTTCTGAATGCATTTTGTTAGACATGCTAGAATGTTGACGAGAGTATTTTTTTAAAAGCCCTATGTAAAATTTCAAGTTGCTGCTCTTGCTGGATTTAGTTTTACTTTGTCCCTTTCTTAAAGGGAAAGAGAACTTCCTATAAGTTGTTTCAATTGTGGTGGATGTGCTTATGATGTAGTTGCAGTGTCTGGTAAGTGCTTTGGGCCGGGGAAAAACAATACCAAAATGTATTAATTCTGTTTTATAGTGAAACACCTTTCCTGAGCAAACTGTCTTATATGTTTGTATAGAAATACTTTAGGAAAGACAAGTGTGCTATTTACATTAAAACATGACTCATGACTAAAGTTGATCATTTGAAATGCATAGTTTAAGTGAAAACAGTCCCATCACTAGGATTGCACAATGTCTACAATGACACTGAGGTGAAGTCTGCACTGGGCTTTTTGGCTGACATATTTGTATCTTGTAAACACCAGTAGGATACGCTCGTGTAGAGGAAGGGCTCCAGACAAACACTGACACTTAGGTACCAACTGGCAGCCAGCTCTGAACAAGACCAGACAGTGCAGTAGTCTATGCTGAAACTCCTGCCCATTGCTGTTACCACCAGCCGAGCTGAACCAGTAGAAAATTTTAGTGAAGCAAGTCAAGACTACCAATCTTAAAGCCTTGTGTATGCTAGAAAGCAGAACTTGCTAAACATGTTTTCCAGCATCAGTTCCCTTTGAACACAATTGAAACCAGTGGGTTATACATCTGGCTGTGTTAATTTTAGACTGTTGGCTTGAGTTCTGAGAGTGGGTGGAACCAAGCATCAGTCACACTTTCAGAAATGGCATTGAACAGGCTTGTATCCAGACTGCACGAGCATTTAAACCATTGTCAGTGCCTGTTCAAGAGTAATATTCTGTTTTTCCCAGTGTATAGCTGTTTTCCCATTTCTACCTGCAGCCACCCAGTTGACCCTAGGTCTAAGATCAAACCCTATGATTCTTTTGTTACACAGTAGATATTTCTATACTAATTATGTAGCATGAAAATCAGATTCCAGCTCTTAAATTTTCAGGGTTTCTCTATAAAAGAGACAACTAGATACATATGCAGAAATAGCTTATTAATTACTGAGCCTTTGGAAATCTTTTCTCAATTCCTATAAATTGTGTACAGTTAAATATATATTTCTTACTAAAGTAAAGAGCATTTTTCCCCCTCCAGCACATACACCTTCACTGGGATTTGATAGGAAATCCAGGGTATAACCCATTGCTGCTGTTACCCTTTTTTGTGGTGAAATGAACCATGTGTTTAGAAAAGCTACCAAGACTACTGTTTACAGACTGAAAATTATTGCTTTTATACTACTGGGATCATGAGCCAAGATCCTTCTACAGATTTCCTCCTCAATTGATTGCTTTAAATCATTTGTCTGATGTGGATAAAGGTGAAGAGCTCTCCATCTACCTTTCTCTGCATAAAGAAAAATGTATAATGCCTACCTGTATTGCCCATTGTTTTTGTATCTTTTAGCAGTTTCAACTGTTCAAAAATTGCATTTATATTTTGCAATCATTATGTTAAATCATGATTTATTTTAACCTTTAATATAAAAAGGTTCTTTTGTTATATCTGCAGTCTTAGCTGAACTTTCTTTTCCTGGCTATTTGTTGTAATTTATGAGTCTGGAAGTTATGTATGCTTCAGCCTTCTATGAAATTAAGTGACACAACCACAAAGCAATCTGCTTTAAACTGGATGGGTTTATAATTTATATAAAAGTCAGTTTCATTATAAATTAGTTTTGTGCTGCCTTTCATTTAATGTCTGCATCTTTGGAAATAGTTGAAGTCCTTGCCTTTACCATTTTGCTTTATAATGTTAGTCTGCCAACAAACTCCAAGCCAGATGCTCCCTTTATTTTATGAAGGGGAACAAAAATTGCTTAAAAAAAATGGGGGAAAATAAGCTTACCTGGAGTCCTCTGAAGCGAAGTACTTTGTGCAAAACATAGGAAAGGCGTGCTGATGGGAGTGGAGTTAGAAGTAGATGTTCTGTGGCATGTTCATATGGCAGTATTGCATAAATTGACAGTTTCTCCATTACCCACTTGCACCCTTCCCAAGTTTTAAAGATGAAGGAAGCAGGAATATGCAGTATTTGGCTGCAGCCAATGGAATTATGGTAGACTAGTCCTGGTGGTCAGAGACAGCTTCAACAAGAATATGTGGCATCTGGCAGTTGGTATCACTGCCCTGTCCGTTCCAACTTCCAATACACTGACAGAAACAGTATGTCCTTGTTTCTTCAAACTGTGTCTTGTGCTGCTTTTTCTCTTACTCTACAGAGAAGTAGAACACCAGACCGTTGTGCACTCGGAACCTAATGTCCAGTTTAGTGTGTCTGTTTACTCTCTTAAATGTTATGTGAACACAGTGACATTGAAAGTTGCAGCAACATGACCAGTTTCTCTTACAGGTATGGCTAATCAGTTACTGTCCTCTACTGAACCATGTGCTCTGCTAAAAAATCATATTTAAGGTGACAGTTATACTTGTTAAACTTTTCTCTCATTCATGTTTATATAAATGTACCATTTGAAACTGAAACCAGTTTAACAAACTTATGCATATTGATGTCTTGCTGACCTGCTGCCAGTTCTTGTTTTTCATTTAAGTGCTACAGTATTTGTGGATAAGAACACAGAAATCCAGGGAAATACATTAACAGTATGTTTCCCTTTATCCCCCCTTTTTTGTGTAGTGATTCAGAGTTCTCAGCTGGAAGGTTTGGAGGGATGTAGAATACACCAGAAACTGCAAAGCAGCACTATCAAGGTCTAAAAATGTTTCACTTTGTAGTGGCAAAGTAAGGTACTTAAATTATGTGCACATAGGTACACTGACCCTCCCTGTACGAGGAAATTTGTCTTATATATGCAGCTATACCTAACCTCCCCTGAAAGACTCCCATATTTTCACAGTTGCTATCTGGTCACTTTGTTTACAGAAGAGATCAATCCTAATTACCCAAAAAGCTCAAGGGCCATTTCTGAAATGTGGCTCAGCTTAATAAAATAGATGTCACCTGTACAGATTAGACTTCCGAGGTCACACACCCTTGGGGCCTGAGCTATCCCAGCTCAGAAAGTTTGACGGACCAGGGGAGGTCAGTACTCGTCCCAGGCTGCTAGCCCTACTGGTGCCAGGGCTTTTCCAGTTGGGACTGCCCAGCCACCCCACTGCTCATTTCTGAAATGTGGCTCAGCTTAATAAAATAGATGTCACCTGTACAGATTAGACTTCCGAGGTCACACACCCTTGGGGCCTGAGCTATCCCAGCTCAGAAAGTTTGACGGACCAGGGGAGGTCAGTACTCGTCCCAGGCTGCTAGCCCTACTGGTGCCAGGGCTTTTCCAGTTGGGACTGCCCAGCCACCCCACTGCTGCTGGAGATTCCAGCTGCTCGCCTCTGCCAGCCCCACTTCAGCCAGGGGTTCGCTGGCAGGGGCTGATTGG